TGCTTCAGAGGCACAAACCCAACCAAATCGACACTCGAGCTGCTTGTTAGCTCTGCTGTTTGAGGCTCAAGCCTCAAGTGCTCTGGCTGGTTCTGTACGTTGTGCTGAAGAGCAATCAAAATATTCTTTAAAAAGTAAAATGTTTCTGTCCTTTGGAAGGCTGTAGTTTAAGGGCAGCCCAGTACAAAGGATTCGTCCCTCTTGACTGAAATGGTTTCACTTTTTTTTGGATTGAATTTAAACAATCGACAAGTTAATATCCCCCTGTCAGTGATTCATGCCTTGATGTGACATTAACAGACTGGTTAAGTCAACAGAGTTGTAGCAAGTGGTGCTTTATTAAGATGACAAGTAGAGCTTTTTAGGTTATTTGGCAGTAAAGTGACTGTTTAGCCTGAATTAGAAGATAACCTACATTTTTATGTATTTGCTGTGAATTAAGTTGAAGTCTGGGCTGACTTGGGTGATAAGAGTGCTGGAGAGGCCTCTGTACTAAGTGTTGCTAATATTCCTACTGGGACTATAAAAGTTGAAACCACTTGTAATGAAGCTGATGCCAACCATGTCTTTTCTTCTGTAGTTTCCATTCTTTACATTTATCTTTACAGATGGAGTCTCTCTTCCTTGACTGTCCTTGTAAACCTCATCATACATGTTGACTAATCCAGTGTGTGCAATAATTGTTAGCAGTCTTACTCCCTTTGCAGTCAGTGTGCACTGGGTTAATCCATGGGACAGACAGATGAAATCTCAGTGTGTGTGTGAGGGAAGCTGATTCTCTCTGTTACTATTTTGCAGCTGAAAACGCAGCTAAATGAAACACTATCAAAACTCAAAGTTGATCAGAAGGAGAGAGAGAAGGTAGCTGGTGACTTGCCCAAGGTAAGGAGAGACTCTTAAGAGTTGCATATCTAAATGTTATTGAAACCTTCAAGATCTGTAGTTTTGCAGTGCTGGAAAATGTGATTGGAGAGGTTTGAGGAGCCTCCCTCAGGGGAGGGGGGTATCCTGCTCCACTCACTGTTTCCCCAGATGACTGGGACTGGGGGTGTTGTAAGAGCTCATGTAAGATACCTGTATGTCTGTTGGAATGATAAAAATGCAAGTAACAGCTCTATTTAATTGTCCTTGAAAGAGCCTCTTGTTCATGATAATTTTATGCCAATGGGAAAAATCAATGATTTGCGGTTGGCAAATAATTCTTTATTTAAAGAAACCCAGCCCAACAGCCTCTCCCACAGCCCTACACCCACAGCACAACCTGAAGCTTTTAAATCCAGTCTCAAATGGCAGTGGGCTACAAGTGGTTTACAAGTAGTTTACAAGCCATCTGCCCATTTGCACGTGGTGGCACATTGGCTATAACCCAGGGGACTGCAGATCTTTACAGTTGTCTCATCAAGCTCATGTAGAGCTGAGTGGGTGGGTTACCTCTGCTCTTCCTCAATGGCTGCTCTTGCAAAATGGATTGGAGTGGGAAATCTTGGAAGTGTGAGAGGTCTCAGTGCTGTCTGCCACCCCAGAAATGAACCTCTCACAGGAGGACTGAGAAATGGAGACAAGAATAGCCTGCAGAGGAGCTGAGCTCTGGCTGCAGGCTGTAAAACACCTCGTTCCTTCTGCAGTAGATGCACAGTAAGGAAACTGGGCTGCGTCCTTGCAGGACTGGTGTGGGGAGAGCTGTTGGAGGGGTAAAGTCCTCTCTTGGGACAGAGAATCACAAAAGCACCACCAGGAGGTGAGAACATTAAGGGGACCTGCTGTGATAAAGCACTGAAAACATTTTTCTCAGGATAGGTATGTTGGATGTGCTGATGTCCATCATTCATTGTGTGTTCCACATAAATGCAGACCTGTGCTGAGGCTCCTGGAGACCTTCCGGCACTGCTACTCCAGCACAAAAAAAAAAACATTGCTGTGCTATTTTTACCTAATAACTTGACGTGAGACTATTAAAGCTTCCCCACAGAATTGCTCTTAAATGCAGGCAGGCTGACATGCAACATGCTGATTGTAAGGAGACATGTCAATCTTGGCAGATGTGTTGGTCCCCTGGGCAAATCTGGCATAAAACAGATTTCTTCCTCAGCAGCCTTTTCCTGCGTCGCTAGTGCTTTTGGAGAGCTGGGGGTTGGCTTCTCAGTCTCTGCTAATTGTAGTGTCTGCCCTGATTGGTGTGGGGTTTTGTTTGTGGTTTCTTTCTTCTTCCCTTCCAGGCCCAGGAGTCTTTGGCATCTCTCGAGAGAGAAATTGGGAAAGTTGTTGGAGATGCCAATGTTATTGAAAACAGCGACGTTTGCACAGAGTCGGTGAGTGATTCTTTTGAGGCCGTGCTCAGGGGCAACACAAACCTCATGCAAAGTATGAACTTTGGGAAGTCAGGTCCAGCAAAGGAACAGGACCTGTGCTGCTGATGGTAAATGAAGGTCTGATGAAAATTCCTGTCCTACAACCCGTCAGGGTGGTGTCCTGGAGCTGTATCTCAAGGTTGCTCCGCGCTCGTCTGGATCGTGGCCTCTTTCCTGTGGCTCACACTTGCAAGGAGGAAGAGGGAAGATTCTGTGTGAGAGATCTGGGCTTCCAGTGGGCTGTTGGTTTGGTTTAGGCAAAAGTGGGAAGATCCCCAGACTTGGCCTTCAGGAAGGGAAGTTAAAAATAAAACTGCTGATAAGCAAATAAGCTTAAAATACCAACTGCTGGGTTGGCTCTTGCTCATACATGTAGTGCCAAAGAAAGAAGGCAGTCTTGCATGTCCTGTAGGACCAAGGCAGAGAAGTCTCTTGCCAGAACACTGACCTTTCTAGTCCTCTGCAGCTGTGAGCAGGAACCTGTTTGTAGCCACTCAAATAAGTGCCAGAATTTAACTTCGTCTGGCCCTGGCTCCTGGGAATTTGTGCTGACCTTGATGTGGTCCAGCAGCAAAATCTTGCTAGCCTTGAGCTTTGGTAAACAGCAGACGTGAGCACTCCCTTGTGCTGTGGGTGGGGGACTTTCCAAACAGAGGCTCCACGGAGGGATCTGAACTGGATGGATTGATGGGCTGAGGCCAATGAGAAGAGCTTCAAAAGGCCAGGTTCTGGGTCTTCCACTGGAGTTACAGCAACCATCTGCAACTCTCTGGGCTGAAGGAAGAGTGGCTGGAAACTGCATGGTGGGAAAGGGCCTGGGGGTGTTGCTCAGCAGCTGGCTGAAGATGGAGCCAGCATGTCTTCAGGTGGCCAAGGAGGCCACCAGCATCCTGGACTGTATCAGCACTAGTGTGGTCAGCAGGACTAGGGCAGGGATTGTCCCCTTGGGCTGGGCACCAATGAAGCCACACCTTGAATCTTGGGCTCATTTTTGGACCTCTTACTCCAAGAAGGACCTTGAGGGGCTGGAGTGTGTCCAGAGAAAGGCATCAAAGCTGGGGAAGGGTCTAGAGCACAAGTCTTGTAGGGGGTGGATGAGGGAGCTGAGGTGGTTGAGCCTGGAGCAAAGGAGGCTCAGGGGAGACCTTCTGGCTCTCCACAGCTCCTGACAGGAGGCTGGAGCCAGGTGGGGGTCGGGCTCTGCTCCCAAGGGACAAGGCACAGGAGAAGAGGAAACAGCCTCAGGTTGTGCCAGGGGAGGTTTAGGTTGGATATTAGGAAAAACACCTTCCCTGACAGGGCTGTCAAGGGCTGTCCTAGGCTGCCCAGGGCAGTGGTGGAGTCCCCATCCCTGGAGGGCTTTAAAAGCCATTTGGATGTGGTGCTGAGGGACATGGGTTAGTGCTGGGTTAATGATCGGACTCGATCTTTAAAGGTCTCTTCCAACCAAAATGATTGTATGGTTCTATGAATGGGTCAGTGGTGACCTGGCAGTGCTGGGGCAACAGTTAGATGTGATGATCTTAAAGGTCTCATCCAACCTAAATGATTCTGTGGTAGCATTGCAATTGCAGGGTTTGGAATTGGGTGAGCTGTCTGGGGCAGCCTGTTTTCATGCCTGCAGGTAATCCACCTGAGCCTGTAGGTTACCACTAGCATGGATGGTGCTGAGCTGCTTGTGTAGCTGGTACTCTGAGTGCTGGCCCTGAAAAGACACCACCTGTACAAGTGGTTGAGTTGTGGCTTTGTAACTGGGCTTCTCCACCTCTGGAAACGAGAGCTTTCACACCAGCTTCCAAACAGCTTCACAGCAGCTTTCTGCAAGGCAGTTGGGAAGGGGAAAGCTGAAGCAGATGCCTTCCCAGCACGTTTTACACAGCTAAGTGGTGTCAATGGAACTCATTACTGTCGTTACCAACACCCGAACCCCGGGCTAGCTGCCACCCAACCTCTACCATTGGGTACCATCAGCAGACACAGGCTTCAATGTGAAGGATGTTGCAAATGGCGTTTATTGCGCAGCTGCAATTGCTTATATAGCACAAGCCACACCCACAAGGCCCCTCGTGGGCAGTCTGAGCTTTCCGTTACATCGCGAGATCTTCCGCACGCCGATCCCTGCCTAGGGCGGGCTCTGCTCACCACAACACATTACCCATGCTCTTCTAATGGGTAGAGTGGAAGGAAAAGCTCTCATTGGAGGAGGAGAGGAGCACTTGCACGTAGCACAAATAATTTATATCAACTCCTTTTAGCTGCTGAGAGTAAGTAGCTCCTTCAGCTGCGAGAGGAAGCTGGGAGTCCTCTAAGGAGTGCTGGAGAAAAGCCTTTGTAGTTAGCAGAAATTGAATGGCTTTTCCTCAGCCATCATCAGCCCTGGAGTTGTGGGCTCACCGTGTCCAAGCTGGAGATGCAGCTGGGCTTGTGAGACCACGGCTGTCCCAACCCTGGGAGCTGCTTTCCTGGGAGGGGGGGTGGGTCTGCCAAGCCCTCTCCCCTCTTCCCAGCAGTAGGCCACCCAGTGATGGTGACAACTGGGTGCTCCTTGTCCCTGTCTGCAGCAGGCTGGAGACGAAAAGCCCTCCCCAAACCAATGCCAAAAGCAAGTGTGGAAAAACAGGACTAATATACTTGTAATTAAACCTTCATTAGGAAAACATATGTTAATTATCTAACCCGTGCTCCTGACAGGTAGCCAGTGGCAGAGGCTGGAATTGGAACCCTTTCTATCTTCTTCCCCGAGCCCTTTTTGCCTTATTGTTTTTTTGTTCAGAAAAAGAAGCTGTCTCCCCAGAAGCCTAAAAATCCAGCTTAAAATAGCTCTCAGATTAAAAAAGGAAGTCTTGCAGCCACTTCCACCTAGCAACAGTGTCTCTTTTTTCAGGTCCTTCTTAAAAAAAAAAAAAACACACGCTGAAAAATGAGCATATTTGTTCCTACTGGGTACTGGAACTAACCCACAAAATTGAGAAATGATGCTTGTGGAAACCCTCAAACACGTTCTGTGTGTTTTCTTTAGAGTCCTTTTTCTTTCTATTTAAAAATAGACTGTTTGTTTTTTGTAATCAGCTCCCTTGTCACTTATGGGACTAGATGATGACTGAAGGGTGCCTTTAAGGAAGTCATTTATATTCGGCAGCTTGCTTAGGCAGTAAACTTATTTTGAGGCTTATATGGAATCAAATGTGCTTTTCCTTCCCCCAGATCTCAGTATAAACCACTCCATCATGAAAAACTGGAAATGCCACCCGCCTAAAGCACGGTGGGGGGAATCTCCCAGTTCAGCACCCCCCTTATCTACTGGGTCTGTGATCACAGGGTGTTCCCCACCACCATCCTCTTCCTCTCTTCATCCCATATCCCCTGGGCAGGCGTGCCCCTGGGTCATGGAGAGCGTGGGGCACAGGAAGGACTGTGGGGAGTAGGGACTGTGGGGAGCCCAAATCCATTGGGAGCTGGTCAGGATTGGCCCCAGGAGGGTTGGGGGTGAGTCTGTAATTCCTGAGTAAGTGCTGCCTGAGATGAGTGAGGTCACAGAACAGGAGGGAGGAGGAGAGGAGCTCTTGGCAGAGCTGGGGGCTGAGGGTAAGTTGAAAATCTCCTTCACTGCTGCTGCTGGTGATGGCTCCTGTGCTTCTCAGCTTTGCAGCAGGGGGCTTTGCTCTCCTGCCTGAGCCCAGAGCTGTTGCTGTGGCAGTGCAGGTGCTTGGGTTTGATTTACTGCTCACTCTGCAGAAACCTCTCGTGCTCACGGGGAGGATGGGGTGGCTCTGTGAGGCCGACACCCAGGCAGAGCTGCTTGTTTCCAGCTCTTAAACTGCAAGGGAAGGCCCTGCTATGGGTCATCTGCAGGGCCCTGTGGTGAGCTGAGTAAGGAGTAAAGTCTTCTATAGAAGTGGGGTTCTCTGTACATCTCTGGGGGAGCTAATCAGTAAAGGTGACAAACCAGGGATCGTATCACTGTTGGCTCAGCCTGACTGACTATTGGGGAGGAGGGCAGGCAGGGGCAGAAGACTCCATTTCCAGTTGTGTCCCTTCCCTGTTGATAAACTGCTGAACTCCTCAAAGAACCAAAAGCAAAGCACTGCTGGGGACACCATCCCATGGGTCCTCATGCTGGACCAACAGCCTTGTTACAGCTGTGAGGGCCAGAAATCCTCCTGCAGGGTGCAGGGGCCTGTGCTTAGCACACTGTTCCAAACCACATGGATCTTCAACTCAGGACGTGGGGTAATGACTTCCAGGGCTGGATCAGTCCAGGCTAAGGAGCACAATTCCTGGAAGCATGGAGTAAGTGGAGTCTTGGGCAGGAGGGGTGGGAGCTGGAGGTCAGCGAGGCTCTGGCTGGTGTTTGGTGTGTGCAGGGAATTCCCTGGAATGGGAAACAGCTTCTTGACCTTGAACCATGTTCTATTTCCATGTGGCCATAACTCTCTGACTTACCAGAACTGCTCCAATCTGTGCAAGGAGTTGTAATTTTATACAGAGCATCTAATTCTGGGCTTTCTTGGTAATTAGATTATAAATGAGGTTTTAATGATTTTTTTTTTTCCCCTTCTTCTTCCAGGAATTGACTGATAAAAGACTAAATGTGGCAGTGAATCTTAACCAGGATGTAGGTCATCTCAAGAAGCTGCTCGTGTCAGTAAGCCAAATGCTGTCAAAGGGACGAGAACACTACCAGCTAGTAGGTAGGTGGAGCTGGTGGAACTGGGGGGTGGCTGTCAGGAAGGACACTGGTCTGTCATGGTGGGGCCCTGCTGCAGCCTTCCAGCATTTAAAGAGGCCTAGAAGAAAGATGGGGACAATCTTTTTAGCAGGGCCTGTTGTGATGGTATGAGGGGTGATGGTTTGAAACTAAAAGAGGGAGATAGAAGAGAGAAGGAAGATTGTTTTCTTTTTTTGTTATACTAAGGGTGTTGAGCCCTTGGCCCAGGTTGCCCAGAGAGGTGGTGGCTGCCCCATCCCTGGAACCATTCCAGGTGAGGTTGGCCAGGGCTCTGAGCAACCTGCTCTAGCTGCAGATGTCCCTGCTCAGGGCAGGGGGTTGGACTAGGTGACCTGGAAAGGTCCCTGCCCACCCAACCCAGTCTGTGATTCTGTGACCCTGTTCAGATTTAACAAGTCAGGTGTCAAAATCTGAGACTTTCTGTATCTGTAATTCACTAAAAGCTTCTAGCAGGCACTGGGTTTGTTCCTCTTTGCATCCAGACTTCAGGCAGCTGGGACAAGTCTCACATCCCCATGCCCAGGCATATAACTTCATCCCTGCTTTCCACTACCTGCTGCTTCACTCAGCAGGTTTCCTGAAGTTTTATTCTCCCAGTGCTTGTGCCTCATTTCCTTCATCCCAGCTGCACGAGCAAAACCTCCACACTTCTGTTCTGTGATTGTTTTGGAGTGGAGGAGATAAAGTAACCCACTGGGCTTCTGCTGAGTTCAGAGCAGTGGCTTGCTGTGGTCAGGGGGAAATGAGTATCTGAAGCATCAGTCTGGCATGAACTCTTCTTCCCATTACAGACACAAAAATAAGGCTTTTATTTTAATATCCAGCCAGCCTGGAGCCTTTGTGGCTGGCTGTGTCACACTGGTGGGGACTCCCAAGGGCCCAAAGTTAGCTAAGGGCTGGGGAAGCTGGAGGCACTCAGCGTTCTGAGGGAGCTGGTGCAGCTCTGAGCCTGTGCTGGCTGTGCTGGGAGCCACCTCTGAGGGCAGGTGGTGAAGGTGGTGAGCTGTTCTTTTGGGAAGCAGCAAAGCCTTGGCACTGAAGGACTGCTGCCACAAGTGCCAGGACCGCCTCCCACCGACTGAGCAGGGGCACTTAGCAGGTTTGTTCCTAATTTAGGTATTTTTTTTCTGCTCCTCAAATTCTTTGTTATTGGCTGAGACCTGGGGCTGTTCAGCCTGGAGAAGACAGAGATGATTTGATCAATGCTGATCAATATCTAAAGTGTGGATCTCATGAAGATGGGGCCAGACTCTTGTCAGTGGTGCCCAGTGACAGGACAAGGGGCAATGGGCACAAACTGGAACCCAGGATGTTCCAGCTCAACAGAAGAAGAAACTTCTTTGCTGTGAGGGTGGCAGAGCCTGGAGCAGCTGCCCAGAGAGGCTGTGGAGTCTCCTGCTCTGGAGAGATTCCAAACCCACCTGGGCACCATCCTGGGCACCCTGCTGTGGGTGACCTGCTGGAGCAGGGGGGCTGGATGAGAAACTTGGGGAGCTGCTTGGCTGATGTGAGATCTTGTGTTTCTCTTGCAGAATGAAGTCACGGGGGAATCGTTAATTTGAGGATAGCAGAAGGCATTGTATTATATTTTGCCAAATTAAAGCCTTATTTATGTTTTCACCCTTTCTACTTCGTCAGAAACACTGAACAGAGTTTTGTCTTTTCTAATCCTTGTTAGACTACTGATTTAAAGAAAAAAAAAAAAAACAAAACAAAACAAAACAAACAACTCTGTAGGCACCTCCAGAGTTTAGTTTTATAATGAAGCCAAACCTGTTTGGGTAATTAGACCTTTACATTCCTGGAGAGAGAGTAAACACCTAATCTTTTATTTTGCTCAATAAAACTTGTTCAGAAAACTCCAACATGGTAAAGTCACCAATGGGATATAACATTTTAATACTGATGTTGTACACGGTTTTACTTAATTACATTTTGGGATTAGCTGCCTCTGACTTCAACCTCAAGTAAACACTCCTTTTTTTTTTTTTTTTTTTTGGTTGCTAATGTAATCAGTTTTTGTAATGGTGTCAGCAAATAAAGGGATGCTATTATTCAAGATGTTCCTGCTCTCTTCTTTTAACTGGATGTAGATGACTCAGGTGAGATAAGGGAAAACTTAAAGACTTCTTTTGTGTGAATGTGGCAGAGCCTGGAGCAGGCTGCCCAGAGAGTCTGTGGAGTGTCCTCCTCTGGAGAGATTCCAAACCCCCCTGGGCACCCTGCTGTGGGTGACCTGCTGGAGCCAGGGGGGTTGGATGAGGTGATCTCCAGAGGTCCCTTCCAACCCCTATAATTCTGTGAGTTTCCCAACTCTCCCCTTCCTGAAATGAGCATCAGGCTGCACATGGTGTGCTTGGTTTCGGGCAGAGGAGGAGGCGTTTGAGAAGAGGCAAACTGGGGTGCTTGCAAATCTTGGAGCAAGTCTTCCTTTTAAAGAAAGGCACCAAAGTGTTAAAAAGTACCAGAAATCCCCAGCAAACCACGGTGCAAAGTGTGGTTCCATGTCGTGTATCGTCTTTGGGGAAAAATTGGGAGCATGAGGGGGAGGAACAGTTGGAATCATGGTACTGTCTGGCAAAGCCAGCATTTGGGGGAGTCTTGGCTGCCAGCCATGCACGAAGTATCTGCTGTTTGCCCTGGACCTGCCTCCTGGATGGGTCTCTGTGGTGGAAGGAGCATTGTGGAAGTTTGGATACTCTTACTGGGAACAGATCTTCGGGAGGGTCTTTGATGGGCCAGGAATTCTTCTGTGGCAATGGGGAGATCAGATGGCCCTCCTCTACTCTGGGTTTTTAAGTGTCTGTTAGAGGAATCCTTCAGTTCTGCAGGAGATTCCTCAGTGAGCAAGGTGAGGGCTTGTTGCTGAGTAAACACTTGAGCACATGATTATTTTGAGGGAAGGCAACAAAACAGGGGCCAAAGTGAACTAATTGTAGAGGTAAAATGATTCAAACTTCTCACCTGGAGATTTTCACACTCTTGCCTTTGTGGGTTTCAACTGTAGCAGTTCTGTCCTTGGAGATTTTACTTTCTGGAGTCAAAACCCAGATGCTGTTAGTCTCACTCTTATACAGGTGGTTTGCAGTAGAAAAACCATTTCTAGTGTCAGGGACACCCTGTGCAACTAAATCCAAGGAAAACCTGAACCCTGGAGGGTGCCCCCACTTCCCCTGGTCATGGTCAGAGACTGAGCCTTTGGCAGATGTGTTGACACCTGGGTTTTGGGGGTAAGTAGCAGCTGAATGGATCTGTGCAGGTTTCTTTTGAAACTCCTCATGAATGTAACCCACAAGCTTCAGTGATGGTAGCTTGGGCTGTGGGTGTTGTGGTCTTGCTCTGATTGCAGCCCTGCACATCTGGAGAGGTCCCCATGGCCACCACAGCTGGGAAGCTCTGCTCTGGAGCTCTTTCAGGAAAATATGTGGTCAGGGAGGTGGATGCTGGCTGTGGTGGTCGTGTGGGAGAGCAGACCTGTGTTTCTGGTATCATATTCACTTTCTTCCACCTTCTGGGTGGAAGCTCAACCTTCCCTTGGATCAGCCTTCCCCTTGGGTTCTTCCATGCATCTGGGTCTTGGTGTTTTTTGGTCCCCTCCTTTCCCCTTATGAATAAGGGCAGTGGACAGCAGGGAATCTTCACGAGGAGCTGTTTCCCATCCTACTTGGGCTCCCCAGTATGTGTGTCACTAGCTCAGGGGTGCTCAGAGCCTCCTTGGGGGTCTTGCCATGTGCATTGCTGGTTGGAGAGTGTGCAGAGATGGGCACCAGTGGATTCCCTCCACCACGAGCCTCCTGCCCTGTGCTCAGGTGGGGCAGCTGCTTTGCAAGACCCTGGGAAAGCTGGTGGTGGGACACAGGTTGCACAAGTTGAAGTGGAGCAGGGTGGATTCAGCTGGATCTATCCCCAGTGTAGTGCTGAGAAGACAGAGCAGGCTGAGGAGCTGCTGTGTTCATCCTGCTTCCCTCACCAACAGCTTGGCTGGAGCTTCCCAGTGAAAACTGGGGGCTCCACATGAAGCAGTATCCCTTTCTCACAAAAAAAGATGGGTTTGCAGCTGCTGATGGTACCTCATTTAAAGAAGAAATGCTCCTGGGAGAGACAGCAGTGCCTGGAGAGCCTTTGGAGGAGTGAAGGTAGGAGGGGCATGGAGATGGAAACCTGGCTGTGTCCCAGGCTCCTGACTTTCTGCTGGGTGAAGCTGCAGAGCAGGGTGTGAAGGTGCTGCTGCAGTGCTTGCTTTAAGAGGCCAGACATTTGCGGCTTCATTCCCTTTCTCTCCTGGGACAAATCCTCTGAGGAAATGAGGGGAGACGTTTTGTTTAGAAATTTAAATGCAGCTTTTTATTTTCTTTAGGAGATCTATGGAGGTGTTAAAGGCAGCTGTAAAAAGAGCTCCTGGAAAGCCCTGCTGAGGAAACCTTAATCCCCTCTCTGAAGGGTGAAGGGAGGTTAGGATGGTCCCCCAGGAGCCGTGGGAAGGAGGATAGGTGTTGTTTCATCTGTGTCCTCTCCAGCCCTTGATAAAAATGCATCTGCTGGTGGCTGCTTCTCAAATTTGGGAGGCTTTAGCCTGCTGATGTGGTCACTAAGCAATCCCTCCTGCTCTGAGCATCTGCTGAGATAGAATGCAAAGAGTTTTTTTAAAAAATAAATAATATAGTGTTGCTGGGGAAGCTGATTGATCAATGGAAAGGTGGAGCTGGCGCTTGGTGTTTTCCCACCCACCACGAGCTCCCTGCAAAGCTTCATCCCTTGGTTCCCAGCCAGCCCAGGAGCTGCAGCAGGCTGGGCTCTGCCTGCACTAGAGGGAGACAATAGCTAATGGATACAGAGATGTTTTTCCTGGAAAAAGCCCAAATGGGGATATTTGGATGCCGGAAATGGATTTTTTTTTTTTTTTAATTTCTTTTTTAATTGTGATGATCTGTGCTGGGGGAAGCCACGTGTGGTGCTGAGCCCTTCCCAACCTGCTGCTGAGCCCCAGTCACGTCCCAAACTATCTCCTCTTGCTTTCTGGGCTTCATCAGCCCCCTTCAAAATGGCATTGAGGCAGGCAGGGGAAGGCTCTTAGCTGGCTGTTTACTCTCCCTGAAGTTGTGCTGCCTCTTCCTTGCCCCTCAGCATGAACCTCCCACCCCTTCCTAGCAGCATCCAGGAGCTGTGAGCAGCAAGTTGCTCAGCTTGTCGCTGCTGTTGGGTTTTCTCAGGCAATGACTCACTCAGCTATTTATTATTGTGATTAAAAAAAGAAATCTCATGCAACTTTAATTCAACCCCAAATAATTTGAATGGTTTTGCTGTGAAACCCCTTTGAAATGATGCAGCTTTGTCTTCTCCCCAGGGCTGCTGGTGCTGGGGGGGTTGGTGGTGGTCTGAGCCACCCTGGTCCACCCAGCTCCCTTGCTTGCTGTGGGATCTTGGCCCCTTCCTGCAGCACTCACAGTGCTGGTCACAGTCAGGAAAGGCTCTGGGGAGACCTTCTGGTAGCCTGCCAGGATTTAAAGGGACCTCTGAGAGCTGGGGACAGACTTCTGAGCAGGGCCTGTTGGGACAGGACAAGGGGGGATGGTTTGAAACTCGAAGAGGGAGATTTAGGCTGGAGAGAAGGAAGAAATGTTTGACACTGAGGGTGGTGAGCCCCTGGCCCAGGCTGCCCAGAGAGGTGGTCGCTGCCCCATCCCTGGAACCATCCCAGGGGAGGTTGGCCGGGGCTCTGAGCAACCTGCTCTAGCTGCAGATGTCCCTGCTCAGGGCAGGGGGGTTGGACTGGATGGCCTTGAAAGGCCCCTTCCAACCCAAACCAGTCTGTGATTCTGTGATGGTGGAAGCTGTGAGAGGGAGAGCTGCTGCTGTCCAGGGGGGAGTTCCTAAGGAAGCATCCAGAAGGTGCCTGCTGTTTTGCCTTCAGTAGCTTGGCTAAACTTAAAATATCAAGTCAGGAGGCAATCCGACTCCAAGGTAAGTGTGAGCAGCACCACGTGGGAGCTTCCCTTCATCACTTGGACCCTTTGATATACTCAGATTTGTTTGATTAAATGTCTTCTTCCAGCAAAGTCTTCTCTGTTAGTCTAAAGCTTGCTTGTGTCCTGGCTGGAGAGGAAAGGTCCTGGGGAGACAGTCCCTGGTGACGCTTCTGAGATGCTGAATCTCCAAAAGCTTCCAGATGAAATGGGAACAGCCTGAGTGCTGGAGAAGTGAGAGTTTTCTTTCACCTCCTTTTGGAGATCCAGCTTGCTCTGACAAATCCATTTGGATCCCACGTCAGCCTGGGCTGGGCTACACTTGCTGCAATGTCCTGGGGTGAGCAGGGGGAGGGATGGGCAACGGGTGCTCCTTGAGGGAAGGTTTAGCCAAGTGTCTCCATAGAGGGCATCTTCTCTCCTCATTTTGATAAAATAAGGTGGCACTACCTTCCTGAAGGTACAAATGGTGCTGGTTTGCTGAGAGAGACAGGACAAGAGACCTGAGAGACACCTCAGCCCATCAGAGCTTCATCTGGATGTTGTCCTCTGTGAGACTCCACCAAAGCAAATGGGTCAGTGAAGGCTTGGAGGAGTTTCCCCATTCCATGTGGGAGACCAGGAGCACAGACACAACCCATGGGATTGCCAAGACTTGCTCAGGTGATTGTTGGGAGAAGTTGCCCGTGGTGTGTCCCCTTCCAATCCACCATCTCCTTGTTCCCAGCCACCAGCTGTTCACCTGAACCGAGGGCATGTCCTGCACCACTGACAGAACCCCCCTGAGGGGTGGCTGTCACAGGCATCCCTGCTCTCAGCAGCTGGAAAAGAAATGGTGCCAGCATGATGGAATGGAATGTTTTTTTTTTCCCCCAAAACTCTGTCTCCCCAAACAATTTCTCAAGGAAGAAACAAAAGCCAGAGTCAGGACCAGAGAACTTGCCCTTGGGTTTTTCCCTCCAGGGTGAGGCTCTTTTTCACTGAGAAGTCAATTGAAAACAATTGCAGGTGACAAATGACTCTGCCAAAACACCTAAACCACCCCCCGACCTTCCTAAAAACTGAATTCCCTTTTTCACTCAGAAAATAAG